CCGCAGGCAGCAGCAGTGCCACCGGCTGCCAAGAGCACCCCACAAACAAGTGCTACATTGCTGTCTTCCAAAAACCAAGCGAGTGCCCCAGCGTCAGTGTCCAAGAGCGGCGCCCAGGCGGGCACCTCGCTGCTGCTGGCCCCCAAGAGCGGCACCCAGGCGGGCACCTCGCTGCTGCTGGCCCCCAAAAGTGGCGCTCAGGCGGGCACCTCACTGCTGCTGGCCTCCAAGGGCACTGCTAAGGTGGGCTCCTCGCTCCTGGCCTCCAAGAGCAGTGCCGAGGTGGCTGCCTCGTTGCTGGCCGCTCGGAGCGGTGCTCAGCAGGGATCCTCACTGCTGTCTTCCAAGAGCAGCGCTCAGGTGGCTGCTTCGCTGCTGGCCACTCGGAGCGGCGCTCAGCAAGGTCCCTCATCACTGGCCTCCCGGGGTGGAGCTCAGGCAGGTGCTTCCCTGCTGGCCTCCAAGGGTGGCACGCAGGCAGGTTCACCACAGCTTGCCTCCAAGAGTGGCTCGCAGGCAGGTGAAAGCCCTGCTAAGGCTTTGTGCAAACCATTAACCAGCGAAGATGCAAAGGAAAGACAACCTTTTTTCAACAGACTGTACAAAGCTGTAGCCTGGAAACTGGTTGCTGTTGGAGGCTTCAGTCCTAACGTAAATCACGCAGAACTTCTAAACTCATCTATTCAGTCTGTAAAAGCTACGTTAGATGTTGCTTTTGTTCCCCTGAAGGAACTTGCAGACTTGCCTCAAAATAAGAGCTCTCTAGAAAATATAGTTTGTGAACTGAGGTGCAAGTCTGTCTACTTGGGTACTGGCTGTGGTAAAAGTATGGAAAATGCCAAAGCGGTTGCTTCAAGAGAAGCTTTGAAATTATTCCTCAAGAAGAAAGTTATTGTGAAGATATGTAAAAGAAAATACAAAGGTAGTGAAATTGAGGATCTGGTACTTCTGGATGAAGAATCAAAACCTTCAAATTTACCTCCAGCTTTAAGAAATCCTCGTGAGATCTTGTAGGGGAGAATCGCTGTTTGTACCGTGTATAGTATTTCAAGACAAGGACTAAAGGTTAATTTTGTACTTCAAAAATGTAGGCTTCCAGATATTTTGTATTTCTTTCTCAGTTTTGCAAGACAATGATAGTCCTTTCACTCGGTAGCAATTGTATAAAACTTGTTAGAGATGACAAGTGTGCATTTAAAGGTATGCCTTAATATATAGCACACTAGTGTGCTGTTTTATTTGCAAAATAGTCTACCTAATTCTTCTATTTTTAATTAAACGATTAAGGTACAACTTGCTGTTTAAAACCTGACAATTTTGTAATTCTTACGATTTGATGGCAGCGTGCTCAATTGTCTACCGTGTCTTTTTTAGCCACATAGAAGTATGTATATAGGGACCATAATACTTGAATGATTGAAAGCTGTTTAAAAATTTCCATCAAAAAGTTGAATCATCTGTTTCAGGCGTGTTGCTCATAATGTTCACTGTTGCTCATACTAGGAGAGAAAATAGTTGGTTGACTATTTTTATGGGAAGTCGTAACACTTGCAATATAAATGACGCCCCGATCCCATGTAGCGTTATACTGGCAAATTATCAATTAGCAGTCAAGTCACAGCTACTTCAGCCACCAAAACTGTAAGCAGATTTAATTTATATTGCGAAATATCATTTACAGTTTTTTCAAATAAACACGGATTTCTATACTAAGCATATTTTGACTGCTACTAAAACAATAAAACCTCTGGGATATGCTTTTATAGTACTTTGGTTTTGGCTATTAAAGATTCCAGCCATTTCAGTAACTTTGCAGCACCTTGCGAAAAGCTTTATTTCGAGTGGCTTCAAGGTGCGATCCCACAAGGATGAGTTGTTTTCTTTGGGTGCATAGCTGAAATGCTGTAAAACTGATGGAGTGGACCTACAGAATATCTGTTTCTACTTTTGTAACACTTGGCAAGATAAGCAAAATGAAGATGCTGCTGTCTCCCGGAGACAGCGGGGGTGTTGTAAAGCATTCACGCTGATTGAGCCCGCCCTTTGCTACATTTTTACAGGATGTACAGAACGGCTTGAAGCAACGAAAGTGGGAGATTACCTTTTCTTTTCCATGTTCCTGAAATACCTGCACAAACTGCATGTTTTGGTATGTTGGATAATGACGTGTAATTGTGAAAACATAACGTCTTCAGTGCTATTTTGAATTAATCTTGTCCGATTACAGTAGTTAGCATCATTTAATGGAGACCTTACACTTGACTGACAGATCCATTGGTCGAGTACTACAGGAGTGAATAGGAATTCCTGGGATCTCGGTAGTATATATGTCCACTTGAAGACTTCACGTTCTTTTGTGATTTTGGTGACTAAACCACGGTGGTGGTGGTGTTACACTGTACCCTGCGTGATTTTGAACAGCAGTGGCTGTCCGGTCCGTAGCACCCGAAGCCTGCAAGGCGCTGTCGCTTCCCGATGGCCGGTTGAGAACTTCCTCCATCTGACCTCTGTGCTTCTGTGCCCTCAGTCGCCCTTCGCTCTAGTTAGGTTTCTCAGGAGCTCCCCCTCGGTGTCTCTGGAGCACCACCCCATGTTTGGAACGCGATGTGTTAAATTGCGTCTCACGCAGTGTAAGAACTGGTGCGCGCTTCTAGCGCAGAGCGGGTTTCATGCTTGTTTTGGGAGTTGTGGTATTCATGCCAGGAAGCGTTGAGTTGTGTTTTCAAATCCTCCCCCTGTTCAGGTGGAGACACAGAATGACTGTTTTCATGGGGCAGGAACTGCGTCCCGTGCCCTCTGGAGTACAGCTTTTCTAGCTGTGAGCTTGTGAGAATTGCGGCATGTGTTGCAGTGCGAAAACCTGTGTTCCCCGTCTGTAAAGCGAAGCTCACAGTATTTACTGACCTCAAGGGGGTGTCAGGGTAACTGTATTAAAAGGCTGAGGTGCTAGATGCCTTTTTTTAAAGTCCTGACTTAAGCTTTTTTTAGAGTTTTTGAATGTTATTCCTCTTTGATGTTTGGTTGTGATTCATTAAAGGACGAGTCTGTAGCTACTCTTAATAGAAACTGAAGTTGAAGTGTGTTATTTTTATTTCACATTCTGCGTGGAAAGCAGCTCAACAAGCAGATTCCAACATACGAGTAAATAAGCATTAAGTATTTGAATGAGGATTTACTAACATTTCATTAACCCTAAAGGAAGGAAGAATTTCAGAGAACTGGCTGTGGCAGGAAGTGTTTGTGCAGTCCTGCCGGCTCTGAAACCTCTGGGTCGCCCTTCCAGGGACTGTCCCGGTCTCTAGCAATTGGGATGCTGGTCTTGAATCGTCAGGCCTTGCTGACGAGGACCGCCTAGAACAAATGCGCTAACGCTGCAGGCGAGCGAAGTTGCCTCAGGGGGACAAACGAAACCGACCGACCGACAGAAAAACTGACCCTGGATTTTCCGCGGGAGTACAGGAAATTCCAGTCATGAAAAATGACTCCCGTTTCCCCCGAGGGCCGCTGGAACGGCTTACGCAGGTGCGGTTGGTTCCTTGCGGACAGCTGCCCCACGGCTGCTGTTGGCGGGTTACAGGGTACGTACCCGCTCGGGCGGCTACCGGCCGAAGCGCGTTTTTTCCGGCTTGCGGG